CGTGTAGAATGGCAATTTCTTCTTCACTTCCCTTAGAGATTATAAGCTATTTGAGGGAATTTTGTGTTCCACTTCTGAGTCCCTAGCACCTAGGACATAGTGGATTTCTACAGTTCTATTTTGAGTTCAATAAGAACTTCCCAACTGCATGGTATATAGCAGGCACTGTGCTGGGCTGAGAGAATACGAGAGAAGACAGGATAGGCAGGCTCACTCTCTCCACACCTTACACTCTAGTGAGAGAGACAGACAGTGAACAGGCAAGCAAAGGAAGCAACCGCAGCTCGTGTTAGGAAGACAAGAAAGGGTTGGCTGTGATAAGATGTCATAGAGGGTCCTACTTAGATGGGATGGCTGAGAAATTCTGCTTTGAGGAGTTGACATTTAAGCCAAGAACTAAAGAATGAGAAGGAGCCAGTCATGCGGAAAGTGAAAAGAAGAGCAAGTACAAAAATCTCGAAGCAGGAGAGAGGTCGGTATCCTCTAGGAACCTCACTGCAGAGTCGTAGCTGTTGGGTAAGGTGCGTGCTGTGAAGCTGGAGGCCTTAGGCGGGTGGCCAGGTCATGCAAGGTCTTTTTGGCCATAGCCAGGCACTTGGATTTGTTCTAACAGGCTGGAAAATCATAGAATAAGGGTTTTAAGGAGGAGAATGGCATGCTCCAGTTACATTCTAAGAGTTCACTCTGGCTGTGTCGATAATGGAATGCGGGGAGGCTACCACTGAAATAGAGGAGCGGTCAGAGAGCTATTGCAGTCATCCAGGAGAGAGAGAATGGTGGCTTAACCCAGCGTGTCACAAGCAGAGATGGGGACAAGCCAATGAGTCCAAGACATATTTCGGAGGTAGAGCAATTTGGACTTGCTGATGGACTGACTGTGAAGGATAAGGAAAAGGGGGGAGACTACGATGGCTCCCAGCTCTGACTTCAGTGACTGAGTGAATAGTGTTACCATTGATAGGCAGAGGGACAACGGGGAGGAAGGCTTGCGGAAGACAAACATTCTGTTTTTACCCTGTTAAGTTTGAAATGTTTATGAGACGACAGAGTGGAGATGTCAGATAAGCAGCCTGAAAATATTAATCTGAGGCTTAGATGAAGGTCCAGTCTTGACATATAAATGTGGGTCTCATCAGCGTGAAGCTCCCCAAACAACAAAGTCTGTGTGGAGAAGAGAAGGTGGTGTTTAGAAACGAAGATCTAGGCACTGGGTCCGTTACTAGAGTGTGCCCCTTCTCTCAGGCCTTCTCATTGGCCTGAGCTAGGAAATACATGTGTGCATATGCCTACACACAGAAATATGTATTTGCATGCTCATATACATACACTCATTTACGTCTACGTTCATTTCCATATCTACCTACCTCTAATAAAAACCATGGGTTCACACAGACATGTTCATTCCAATCCATCACCACAGGGCTCCTCCTAGCTTTCCTCTGTCCGTATTTACACCTGTCTTCTCCCACAGTGAGAAACTTGACTCTCATTATCCTCAACATTCTACTGATCTGCTTGTTCTCCCGGTGTGTAGCCAATGTCCTGATGCCTCCAGGCTCCCACCAGGCCAGAAGACCCTGCTCGTGCAGGCCCTGGCCCTCGTGACGCTCTTCTGCCCAGGAAGGGAGGAAAGTTCATTTTCTTTTTTTAGGTTCTGCACATGCCTTATTATGTATATTTTTTGGTATTTTGTTTTATTGCTATTTTGAAAAAGTGCTTTTAAAAAATTGCATTTTCTGTTTATTGCTAATATTTTAAAAGGCTACAATATATGGTTTCATTTTTTCATATTTGCCCATCTGAAGTGAAAAAACTCTTTTTATTTCACTGCTTTTATTGGTCATTAGTAACATTGAACCTTTTCAAGTGTTTATTAGCCATTTTAATTTATGTTTCTGTGAATTCTGTGAATCCTTTGATTTTTCTACGAGAATCCTAGTGGTCTCTTTTTTAAAATCAACTTTCTTGAGTTCTTTAAAAATTCAGGAGAATAATCACCTGTTTGGTGCAAATATTTTCCAAGTTAATTGATTGTATAATTTTTTTAAATTTATTGAATTAAAAAACTTTTATGTGACCAAATATGTTGGTTTTCTTCCTAGTTTTCTTTCCCTTCCTGAGGAAGATTCACCCTGAGTGTTGCAAATCCTCCTCTCTTTTTGCTTGAGGAAGATTAGCCCTGAGCTAACATCTGTGCCAATCTTCCTCCACTTTATATGTGGGACACCCCCACAGCATGGCTGACGAGTGGTGTAAATCTGTGCCTGAGATCTGAATCCGCGAACCTGGGCCACCAAAGTGGAGCGTGCCAAGCTTAACTAGTACACCATGGGACCAGCCCCTCTAGTTATTTTTAAGCTTGAAACTCCCTTTCCCCACCAGAGGTCAGATAGTCACCTATATTTTTGTTAAATATTTTCAGAAATTTTGCATTTTTAGAAATTTTGTTAAACATTTCTTTGGAAATTATTTTGTTACATTTTAGCCAATCTGTAGAAAATTCTAATACTAAGAATATTAATCCTTTACATACCAAAGTTGTCATCAATATTTTCCCCGGCTTTTTATTTGCCATTCAAATCTATCTTCTTTGGATTTTTGGCATGTAGAAGTTTCCCTTTTTTGTAGTTAAATTTAGTAATCTTTAGTGACCCCTCCCCTTGCTCTCAAGCTCAGAGAGAGACTCCCCTGTCCAGAGGTGTAAGAGTCTACGCTTGTATTTCCTTCCTTCTCTTCCTCTTTCCTCCACCCTCCCTCTCCATCTCTTCTTCTCTTTTCCTTAGCCTTTGCTTCAAGGCCAGCTTTAAGTAAAATGAGCCATTAAGCCGGCCCCAGTCACTTGGTCTCTTGGGGGTCTTGCAGACCAAGGAAAACGTGGGATTGGGATGGATTTCTCTAGAACACAACCTCTGCCTTCCCTCCTATAAAAAGCAGTTCAGCGTCGAGCCCCCCAATACGTGTACGTACATCTGACAATTCATAAACCGCTGGAGTGAAAGGTGGACATTACATATTCTGTCTGTAAATTCAGCCATTTATACAGAGAGAATGAAAAAAATTGGCCCGATTCTGATCAGATGCTGCTTGTCGCTCCTCACACCGTGGGGTTCTGTTCTGCCATTTCCTTTGAAGTCAGTGGGAGCTCTGTGCAGGAAGGCCGCACCAACATCGGCCTCTGCACACGAAGGTGAGAGCTGCCCTCATGATAAACTACCCGGCAGTGCGGTGGAGGGAACGCTGGCGTAACACACTTGGTGGCTGCCCTGCAGATCCCACTGTCTGTGAGAGCTTTGTTCACCCCGAGCAAACAAGAACGTTTTGAATCTTGACACACAAGGGCTCATTCAGCAGAGCATCCCGTCATGAGAGAAGGCACAGTGCTGGGCAGACACGGCAGTGTTCAGCCAGCACACTGAGGGCATTGCTCTCACATTCTCTCCATCTGTAACGAGACTGTTTCAAGACCCCAGAATGGTTTTCTATAGATTGGAAGGATGTATAAATATTTTTACATGTTTGTACTCACATATAATGGGGGACAAATTACAGTCATATCAAAGTAGCCAGGCTGGAATATGGAATTTCAATATGGGAAGAAAGAATCAACAAATTTTAGCTGAGGGTGTTATTTGGTGAAAAGCAGAACTTGTAATAGAAACCATGAGAGAAACTGACATGGAGAGGGTATTGGGAATTAAGAATCGTGTAGGTTTGCTTTCTGTCTCAGGAGCATTATTTTGTTAATTAGCCCACAGAGACTTTCTCCCTTTCCTTCCTTTCACAGTCATTTTTTTTTTTTCACCATTTTTTAGGAACCTAAATCAAATGATGCTTTCAGTTTGTTATTCTACAAACATTGAAATGAAAAGAGGTCAAAGACCAAATTGCCCAAATTGGTGGGTGATTTTTGCACCCATCCCATCCCCTGACTTTGAAATAGTTATGTCCCCCGACTGGCTCCTTCATCCTATCTTTCTGCTCCTGTCTCCTGGCCCTTCCTTAAGCTGTAGCATACACCCAACTTCAAGGCCTTTCACTTCCCAAGCTCCCTCCCAGAGCAGGACGCCAGCATTTTGTATTTGTAATTTCTCCTATTGGATAGCATTGGAGTGGAGCAGTGATTTTTTTAGCTACAATTTTGAATTCTTTTTCAGAAAATTTGTATCCACCTCTGCATATAGAAAACCGTTTCTTTCCACAGGTCATCAGGTGTTGGCATGTGGACAATATTTAAATCCCTGGGACTGGATGAGATCATCAAGGGAGGAAATGCAGATGGAGGAGAAGAGAAAGGACTGAGTTCTGGAACACTCCAAATTTAAGAGATTGAGGAAAAGAGAAAACATATCTGGGAGATCACTCCATAACAGTTCACAGGGAGCAGCAGCATCCTTTGAAATAATAGTTATATTGTAAAGTAACAGTTACAAACTATTCTAGTGTGTGAATAAGCCTTAATCGATATAAGCAATCAACTGCTCTGCCCATGCCAGCTTCCCGACTCTTCCTCCTGCTCTCAGTTTATCCTGACTCCAACCTACTCTACATACTGTTGGGTTAACCTTGGATGAATTTTAGCTATTTGTGCCTGATTGAAAAATGGGAAATTAAGTGAGTACAATATATTATATAGATATGATGAAATACAGTGCAGTTATGATTTTTTTCCTTCTTCTTCTTCTCCCCAAAGCCCCCCAGTACACAGTTGTATATACTAGTTGTGAGAGCCTCTGGTTGTGCTATGTGGGACGCCACCTCAGCGTGGCCTGATGAGCGGTGCTATGTCTGCACCCAGGATCCGAACTGGCGAAACTCTGGGCTGCCGAAGCAGAGCGTGCAAACTCAACTGCTCGGCCATGGAGCCAGCCCCACACTTAGGATTTTTAATGAGAAAATACTTGCAAAATAATGTTGAGTAAATAAAACATAACTGCAATTTCTATACAAACACACACATGAATATGACTAGAAAAAAATGCTACAAGTTTATCCATCAAAAGTGTAACATATATCTAGATGGTGGGTTTCCAGGTGACTTTTATTTTATTTATTTATTTTTTTTTTTGCTTTTCTGTGTTTTGCAAATTTCCTTCATGAAAAAATAGTTTTTTTTAAAAGCATACTTTACTTAGTTTCTTCACAGGCAGGAAACCAGCTTTGACTTTTTATTGCCTAAAAAGATAATGTCCAAATATCTTAATTTAGTAGTCAAGACCCCTCAGACTAGAAGCCCAACTGGCTTACCCAAACCCCTTGTTTCAGTTACAAGGAGCTGTTCAAGGTCTTCTGGGCATGCTCTGTACTTCCTATTTCTGTTCCTTTCTGAAAGCTGGCATCCTTTTTATTTCCCTCCTTCTCCTATAATTTCTACAAATCCTTTAAGACACTATTTAAGTTCCAGCTCTTACTTCGTCCTAAGACCATGAATGATGGAAAAGGTCTCCAAAGATTAGTATCTCTCTTGTTCATTCAGCATTTACCACAGGATGCTTCACATAATCACGGTTCTCTTTCTATGAGTCCATAAGTGTCTCCCCAGCTGCCATTTTGATTCTTAGAAGACAGGCTCTGTGACTTAAGAGTTCTTGTATCCTCAACCCGGTGTCTGTTCACAGTAAGTGTGTAATAACATTTGCAGTGGTTTAGATCCAGGGTTATTTATATATATATGTATATATATATATTTTTTTTTTACTTCGAAATATCTCTGGATCTCACTCTCTTTACGTATATGTTTGTATCTTCTAAGTGCATTGAGCTTATTAAGGAATAATAAAATGTCAGCAGTTAACTTACTAGAAGGGAAACATTTTAAATACATGTAGCTATAAACTATTGCCTAAGCATTCTTTCATCCTTCACAAAAGGTCATTGGTCTTCTCCTCGGGGAATGTTTTCTTCTTACTGTCTCCTGGGATACAACGTAGCTTTCCTTTCCTTCTTTATTCCCTGGTCCCAAGTATAATCTCCACACATGCTCTATCTCTGTGGGTGAAACACTTCCTGCCTCAGTGAAATCCAGCTCCCGGATGAATTCCTGTCAGTTTAGAGAGCAACTTGAGGATTCTGCATTTGGCACCATTAGATTTCCTTGGCATCTCTCCACAGCCACCATTTAGAAAGCTCCTGGTCGGCAGGATTTCTCTCCATCATATACGCTCTGTGCAGATTAAAAAAGGATTGTATTACATTGGCTTGAAAATGTGATAGAAAATGAAATTTGCTTTATCAAGAAAGGAAGCTTTTGAAAACCAGATTGTTCTAATAGGTCCTTATGCACGGAGAGTCCTTAGTGGGGTAAAGTGGCAAATATGGTGAAAGTTCCTTCTTATTTAGATTGCCACTAAATAAATATCACTATGTTTAAAATCACTCCCACAAATAAAGCAAGTTGTAAAACAATATGATCATATTTACGGTCCCCAAAATATGAGTGTATATATACTTATAAAGCAAGCTTGGATTAAGATCTTAAGAAACGTCCTAAGCATTGTACAGTTTATGGCACATATGAAATAATAGCCTATTATTTACTTTAAGATTAAAACCATGTTAAAATCAAATAAGGATATGGAAGTCTCAAGTTCTGATTTTTAATTTTTATGCATTTGTAAAAACTTAAATTCCTTACACAATATTTTTTGGTCCTGGTTAGCTGGTGCCTTAAGCACGTATTTCATCTGCCTATTGGGTAATTCTGTTTTGTTTCTATGGATGTAAATGCACAGAAAAAGATCTGGAAAGTAGCACACCAAATCATTAACAGTGGTTACATCTGCAGAGAGGACCGGCCTGGGAAATGGGGAGCATTGTACCTTTTTCTTTTACTCTCTCTCTTTTTTCCCCTAATCATCTATACCCAAATTGTAGTCATTTATGACATGCACAATCATTAAAAATGAACAAATAAATAAATATGAATACACACACACACACCCTGAGAAAGTATAATGCCTCACTTTTCCTTTTTTTTTTTTAATCAAAGTTTAATGTTAAAGTGCTCATACTCTTTGATAAATGTCAATGTAACCTAGAGGGCAGCTCAGATCATCCTCCAAATAGAGTGGACCACTTTCCTTTCTCTTTCACCCAATGACATGTTTAGATGGCTGCCTTCTATCAGCTGTGTTTCAGATGCTGCTGCTACTCCTCATCGCTAACGTTCCTAAGCTCTCACAGTCCGCCAGGCTCTATGTGGACCATCTTGTTGAACTCTCACAGCAGTCCTGTGAGGTGGTGTTATTATTACTGTGATTTTACGGTTGAAGAAACAGAAGCTGGAGAGGTTTCACCACCTTGTGCGAGCTGGGACACAGCTAGCAAGTGACAGAACTGAGACGCACCTCCAGCCAACTGACTCCAGAGTCGGCCTAGGAAGGAGGAAGGGAGTGGAACAAGGCTGTGGTCTAAGATTTTTACTTTATTTCATAGTTGGCATATAGACTTTTGTCTAACTGGGAGGTGACTAAAGGCATTGGGTCTGGTTGATTGCTGGCTGAAAATTACTATTATTATGAGGATGATTATTATAGTATTTAATAATTATGCAGTGCTTTCTACTTCAAAGAACTGTGCTTTATAATCATTTATTAGCTATGTCTCACAACAGCTCTACGATACAAAGATGCACTTACGATGCATATTTTGCAGAAAGAGAAATTGAGGCAGAGTAAGATGGGTCACATTTTCATGAGAAAGAGTGATGGTGCAATGCAACCTCTTAAATTCCTGACACTCAATAAAGAGCTCAATCTGGACAACAACAGAAATTTAATTCTTTAAACCTTTTAAAGGAATGTGGCAATTCCAATATCTTTTCTCGATGTTTAATTAAAAATTAAGTGTAAAATTGCTAAAAATTGATGACCATTCCTTTTTGGGGTCCTCTGTTTTTGAGCTTTTACTGCATTTGTGTCCATGTGACACTTTTGCTCAAATTCAACCTTGCTATCTCCCATTTCTCCACACAAGCACAATTTTACCTCAGATATTGGTTTCCACTGTCAATATTATATTGCTTCGAATGGCTTCCATCGCCTTTAAAAGATGACTTTTGCTCACCATAGGTATAGGACTTTTTGTGATAACCAGTAACAAAAACAAACTTCATGCAAGAATTATATTGGAATTAAAGAAAGTCTTAGATGTCTGGCAGTTTGTACACCTCAAAAATGAAGATTATGGACATGTCAGTGTGACTTGGGGTGGGAGGGGAGGGGAGAGAAGGATCTGTGTGGTTTATTACAGCGCCCCACAAAAGGCCTGGAAGAGATACACGCATTCTTCTATAAATGTGGTCGGCTCCTTCAGCTGGGAGGCAGTCAGGGCTCCAGCACATGGGAAAGGCTCAAGAAATATTAATTTAGTGGTTAAGACCATGTCTTGGAGACAGGCTGCCTGGGTTCTAATCCTGGCTCCATCGCTTGCTAGCTACCTCAGCTCACCGTGCTTGTGTTTTCTCTAACCAGGGAAAAAATAAATAAGTAAAAAGGGATCAAGATCACTGTATATCATGAAATGTAATCACATATTTGCTATTATTTGTCTTTTATATTTCCAAGGTAGTTGACAAATAACATTAGCTGCAACTCCGTTAAAATGTTGGCGGTAATGATATTTATAATCTGTTGTCTGCACTTGACTGGCTTGTTTAGAAATGGTATGACATGGTACCTCACAATTTCCTACTCCAGAAAAACAATTTAAAATTACCTTGGAACACACTGGAACAAATAGTTATGAGCACATGTAAAATCTATAAGGTGAAATTCCATATACTTGTTTCTCCAAAACGTCCATACGATCCCCTATAGTAGGGGCTCCAGACTCAGCACCGCCATGGAGAGCTCACATGTGAGTGAGGCCAGCTCACTGTACCACCCGAATAAGCTGTGTTTGAGCTGAAGAGGCTGACGTCCCGTGGGAGGCATGCCCAGTCTGCCAGAGTGTCTAAATTTTCAAGAGATGCCAGAAATTGGGATTTTTTTACATGACATTTCCCAATTTTAAAATTTTAGCTCAGTTTATTTCTTGGTAAAAAAACTCTGTGAGTCAAACAACACATTGGAGGGCCATTTATCAAATCTCTGCCAATTACATTAGTACATAAATATGAGTACACTGTGCTGTTTTTCAAATCAGCAAATGCTTTTGAAGCACCTGTGCCAAGGCAGGAATAAAGGGTGAGCAACATGAAATATGACAAAGTCCTCAAGAAGCTACAGGTCTAGTGTGAGGGCAGGTAATGATGTCACAGAAGAGAAGGAAAAGTGCCATAGCAGAGTGCAGGACCCAGGGCATGACCCTGGTGGTTGAAGTATTGGATCAGGCCCATGTTAAAACAGACAAATAACAAAGAACCCCATTATCTGAGAGATTGGCAAATGGTGGACACCCAAGTAGATGGCTCTTTTGTTTAACAAAACACCTCAATGGATTTTTGGGGTAGGAGTTATGCATGGACAATTCCAGGGGGACCATTCCTATTGCAGCCTGTGCAATGGGCACCCCCTGGAGTACCATTCAGGTTGTATTCTTTGTGAATGGTACCCCCTGGAATTGTGCAACCTGTGATTCTGTTAACAAAGATAGGTCTGGAGTCCGGCCTGAGAGGAGGATTGAGAGCTAAATCCTTCTACATAATAAAGTAAGAGGAATTTAACTCTTCACTTCGTGGATGGAGGGAGGAAGGTGGAGGGGTGCCTGTAACGGGGAGAAGAAAAGGGTTTGGAGAACAGATCTCTACGATGAGGATGGGCCAGCAATTTGGCAACAACCGGGAGCCCATGAACCTGGTGAGAGAGTCCCTGTAATTTTTACAAGAAATGCGTAAAATCCTCTGTCATCTTCTGGAACCTACAGGAGACACTGACAAATGAACTCAGACAACTTGTTTCTCCAGCATCAAGTAAAGCCTTTGAACCTCTTCTGTATGAATCAGCAGATGACCAGGAAAGATTCGATACTCAGGCTCACACAGCAACTCTTAGCTGAACATACAATATTACAGCAACCTGCCTTTTTACTGTTTTTCTTCAAAAAGCTCAAAGCACTTACACTTTTATTTCCTCATTTGTTCTAACATTCCAGTGTGGGAGGGGCAGATTTATGATGACATTATTTATAGATGGAGAAATGGAAACAGAGATTAAATCTCTGACTCAGTGTTGCATAGTTGGGGTGGTGGAACCCACACTGGAATTTGGTTCTTCAGCTCCTGCCACTAAGTGGGGAGATCATGAGTGTGGGAATTAGAGGGATCTTTGTCTGAACAATCCTGATTTCTGCCCCTGAACAAGAATGTGGCCTTAAATCAGTTGTTTCATCTAAGTCGCAGTTTTTCTCTTCTGTAAAATTAAGACCACGAAACCTCATGGCAGTGTAGTGAGGATTAACACAGAAAATGCACGAAAGCCCTGGCACAGAGTGGTTCCCAAAGAAGATTAGTTCCACCCCCAACCCAGAATTATCTGGTTAAATTTCAGTACAAATTTGAAGTAATCAAAAAAGAATCCTCCATTAAAACTAATTTTTTTCTAGCCTTATCTCCCACTGAGAGCAAAACATGAATAAAAATGCTTCCCCATGTCGTTTAGTTCAATGGGAAGAGCTTTGCTACAGTAGAGCTGTTCCTGTCGGGGATCATTAGAGAAAGAGAGGCCTCTGTGGAAGAGCAGAGTAGAGGCAGCGGCTGAGTCTCCTGGAAGATCTGTTACGGCAGAGTTTCTGATTCACGAGGTCTGCAGTGGGGCCTAAAAATGTGCATTTGTGACAAGTTCAGAGATGACGTTGATGCTGCTAGTCCAGGGACCACATGTCACAGAAGCATGAGTGTGGTTGAGTGAAATTCCGGGGGTGGGCCCAGCCATCTGTGTTTTCACAAGATCTCCACGTGAATCTGCCGACTCTCAGGTCTGAGAACCACTCGAACAGAGGTGAAAAGCACCTGAGGAGTCAGACCCACATTCAGATCCTGGCTGCACGGGCTACTAGTTAGACGGCCAGTGTCAGTGACAAACCTCTAGCACTTCTGCATCCCGCAGGGAGCCTGACAATGTCTGCTGTTCACCGCTTCTCTCACCATCCCCCTGAGCCCTTGGTGGAGAGAGAAGTTAGCAGTCCTGCCAGCCCAGGCTCTGTTTTTTACTTCTTCACACTCTGAGGCATGAAAGGCTGTTTAAATTTGAGTATTAAGGAAGTATTTACAAACACCTCTGTAATCACAAAAATAAAATAAACAAGACAGTACCGTAAATAAAGCCAGTAGCAAAGGCATTGTTTGCATCTTAAATTTGTAATAAAGGGTTCTGAATTATTTCCATTTCCCCTGCCTTTCTTAGCAGAAAATTAAAAAAACTTCCTCCCCCACAGTTTTAATTTGTTTAATTTGTTAATTTGCTAAATTTGTTTTGCAGATAGCATGCATGCTGAGGCATTCCTGCCACCCCGCCTCCCCGTAGGTGGCCTCAGATACAGAATCTGCCTCAGATGCTCAGTGTCTTCCTAGTTTTATACTTGAGAAACCCCTTGTTCTTTTTCCCCCTCCTTTCCCTGCATGGCATCTGACTCTGTGGGCCCTCATACTGTCTCAGTTCACAGTGTCACAAGTATCCGGGTTGGCCCTAGGACGTTCTTTCTTTTCCATTGCAAAACCTCTACTTTTTTCTTATTTCCTTAGCTAACCTTTCTTATTGCCTATTGCTAACCCACATTACCATCTGTTAGAGTGACTCCACTGGAGGAGAAATTGTCCCTATTGTTGATGAGTTATGAGAATTGGTGATTTTTACCCAGTGCTGCGTTGGCACCAGGTACACTGCAGTGTTCATCACGCATTTTCATTTTGAATTCCTACAATGATGTACAGATGATCATATATGCACCTGTACAGACACACACACACACATCAAATACATTACAAATGAGGAAACTGAAGCTTAGAGGCCAAGCAACTTGGGGTGAAAAAGTAAAAGTAAATTCCAGGATCCAATAGATCAATAAGATTCAATCCAATAGACAATAAGATTCCAGAGCCCCCCAGCTCTCGGCTTCGGCTGAAATTCCAAGTTATGATGAAATACATACAGGAGTATAATTTGGTTCCTGCCCTTAAAGAATGTGAAACTCTTGTTAGGAGTAGATGAGATTTGCATACACAACACGAGTTAAAATAAAATCAAGAGCCGACGTTTTTGGCGGTAGTGGGTTTGGTACCTTCGGCGGATCTCTTCCGCAAGATGCAGAGACCAGGCCAACGTCAGGGGTTTGGGACGGTTCCTTACACAGTGCCCACGCGCAGGAAGCGCTCAGTAAACCTAACTCTTAGGATTCTTAAAGCAGGTGGCCTGGAGTGGGGGGAACACTGGAGTCAGGAGGCCAGGGTACGCGCGGGGCCCCGCCCCTCAGTTCTCCGAGCCTGGGTGTCCTCGTCTGTCAAGTCGGACCGTCAGACGGATGGGAGAGGCCCGGGGCAGGGGCGGGGCCGCCGCGGCCGGGGGCGGGGCCTCGGGGTTGACGGGCAGCCGGGGGTGTGGCCGCTGGGTTGACGAGGTGCCGGGGGCGGGGCCGCGGGGTGACGAGCTGCCGGGGGCGGGGCCGCGGGGGTTGACGAGCTGCTGGGGACAGGGCCTCAGGAGGGCCGACGAGCAGCCGGGGGCGGGGCCGCGGGCGCCGCGCGGAGAGGCCCCGCCCCCCGGGAGGCCCTGTCAGCCCCAGCCCGCGAGCAGTTCCGGTGCCAAACCCTCCCTGCCCCTCGCCCCCGGAAGTGCTTTTCCAGGATTCGGGCCGGAGAGGCCTTGCGGGCACAGCCGCGGAGGCTCGGTAGGCTCCTAGGGCTCCTGCCGGGTCGGAGCCCGGGGCCTGCGAGCGCCCGCCACCCGCGCCCCGCCCCCGCCGCGCCGGGCCGACGGTGAGTGCCGGGGAGCCGTCTGCGCCGGCCGGGGCCCCTGCCCGCCCCGGCTCCGCGCTGCGGGCTCGGCCGTCTGGTTCGGGGGGAAGGGGCGCGGGCCGCCGCGGTCTTCGCGACCCGGGGCGGGAGGCGCGGGCGGCGGCCGCGGGTGGGCGGGACGCGGCAGCGGGTCCCAAGCCTTGTAGCTGTGGGGACGCGGTGGGGTGGCGGGGCCTCGGTGCCTCCGACCTGTCTCCGCTGCCGCCCGGGCCTCGCGCCGCCTCCGGGTCTGGCTCGGGGGTGCGCCCCGGGCCGGGAGCTGGACGCCGGCCGCAGCCGGGCCCCGGCTCGGTCCGCGTCCCGCGCTACCTGGGGCTCGGCGCTGAGCCGGCCCCGGGGTGGCCCGCAGGCCGGGGCGGGGCGGGGCGGGGGAGGAGGCCCGATCCTCGGCAGGCTCGGCGTCCAGACCCGCCTGGGGGTTGCCCGGGACCGGTTTGGACTGCGCTCGGGCCGGTCCTGCAGACGCGGGCCCCGGGCACCGTCCTGCCTCCTGCGTCTCACACCCTGTGAGCTCGCTCAAGCTGCTGTTGAAGTCGCTTCTCAAAAACAGCTTGCTTGAGAAAATCGGTAGTTCAGGTGGGTTCCCGTATTTTCTTGCAGACTTAAGAAAATGATGCTGTTCTCTAATCTGCTCATCTCCCAATTCCTGTGGCTCTCCGAGGTCACACTTGTGCGATGAGTTCAGTCTGCGTTTGTTGCACGAATGGATTGCAGAAGGTTGGGGAATTGTTATACCCCCTCTGCCCCCAAGTTTGTATACGTTCATAGTTGGAGCTGTCATTTTCCTTAACTTTTAAAGAAAAATTGTTCTCGGTAACTGTTAAGAGGTTCCGCGTACTGTTGCAGCTGTTGCTGCGTGCCGAGATTCACACAGGTGGGCAGAGGTGTTCTGTTTTGTTTTATTTATTTATTTTTTTAACTTGTGAGGTGTTTATCTTGGGCAAGTTGAAAATAGAGGAAAAAGTGATGCATAGGTAGTTATTTTTAGTGAACAGATTTTATGTAATAAATTACTGCTGACAGGTTTGTAGGAAACAAGGGTTTTCAACATTTGATGGTGATTTTTGAGTTATGGTCCTAAGGGGATACAGTCACTGCAGGGGATGACTCTGGGCAGATGGCCATTGCTTTCCCATGTAGAGTACACACAAATTGCCTTGGTGAGACCAGTGACACTAGACTGCACTTATGATCTTGTGCTAATATTAGGACTCATATTGTAGTTTTTTGGGTACTTATCTCATTCTCTCTCCTCCCACCATTGGAAGGGGAGGTAATACTGTGAATTAGGGAAAACAGACTGAAGTGACAAGTTCAGTGAGCTTGCCTATGCAAAAGAACATTTATTTCAGGGTTGTTGATCTTCAGCAGGCAAAGGATGGATGATTTTTAAAGTCCCTGGAAAAAATTGTGGAGGAAGTTTAGTTGCCCAACTTTTGGATTTAGCAAGAAACTGTAGATTCTTAGACATTTGAAGTGCTTAATTTTTTTAGAGCATACAGTTGGAATATTGGGATTGAGACAATCTGGAAAAGGAGTCCAGGTAGATACAGTTATAGATCCATACTGAACGTGTGGATATAACTGTTGTTTTGAAGGGAAATATTTCAAGAATTGAAGGAGCAGAAAAGGTAGTTGGGGAAAATCAGATACAGTTAGACATTGTAAATTTTATTGTGTTCAAGTCAGTTCAGCAGATATTGAACATTTGCTTTGTTAGGCATCAAGCTGTTAGGCAACCATGTGGGAACAAATAAAGATACAGCCATAGCAACTTAGATTTGTGTTTTGGCAGTAATTTTCTAAGGTATGTCAGGAATCATGAAGAGGTGAATTGTATTTAGGCATATTAAAAGTTTTTCCTAGTTGGAAGGCGTGTGCTTTATGAAAAGCTCTGTTAGGCATTATAGGATATGTAGATTAATTCTTTGGTCTAGGAATTTGAAATCTAGAAGAGGATGTAAGATATTTGCATGAAAATTTACAACATAAAGAAAAATATGTAAATACTTAGTACTTGAAGGTTTGACCTAAAGTTTGGAGTTGTAGGAAAGGAAAATGGGTTTATTTTTAGCTGGAGTAATCAGGGAAGGTGGTGGAGATAGAGCAATACTTAGGAAGGGAGCTCTGAAGCTGCTGCTGATTGCGCACTTAGCACCACGCTCTGTGCTAGTGCTTTACATATGTTTTCTAAGCTTCACAACAACATGTAAGCGTCTTAATAATGAGGACACTCATGCTCACATATGTTAAGTAGCTTGCCTGGACTGTGTAGCTAGCCAGTAACTGAACCTCAATTTGAATCCAGATCTGCCTGGTACCAATGCCTGTGCGTTTCCACTACATCATACTACTTCCCAATATACTGGTACCTGCATTCAATATTGCAGAGGGTAAGACTTTTCTAAGACAGACATTTAGGGGTTGGGAGGAGGGGGTGAAGAAGGCTTTCAAATAAAGGGAATGATGTGAACACCATTGTGGAGGTGGGAAAGTTCACGGTGTACTCAGAGAAAAGTTAGTGGGACCAGGTTACTTAGAATATAAGGTGCATTTTGAGGAATAGGAGATGAGGTTTGAAATGTAAGTTGGGGCCGGATCGTGGAGTGTGTTTAAAAGCTGTTGTTTAGGAGTTCAGCATTTGGGAAGTAGTGAGAAACTACCAAGGTCTAATTGTGTAGTGTGTAGAATGATTTGTTGTAGAAAGCTGACTTTCAGTATATTGTAAATACTGGCCAAGGCAAGGCATTGGGATGATTTAGTAGGTGGGTAGGAGGAGGGGTTATTGGGGAAGGTTTGAAGGAAGTGGAAGTTGAAGATGATAGTCACTGTAAATGCGGGTGATGGCAGTGGTGGTACTATTCCTAGAAGTATGGGCAAGGAGGTACATGAAGAGATCAGTTTTGAATATGTTGAGTTTTTATATACTTGCCAAACAGGGGAAATGCCCAGAGGCTTTTGGAAATGTGGGTTTGTAGTTCATGAGCGAGGTCAGTGCTAGGCATATATTAAACATAGGTGTAGGGAATAATACAGATAGATGACTAGTTGAATCTGTATATAAGGAGGAGATGAAAGAGCCAAGGGAGAGTTTAGAGGGGAAAGAAAAAAAAACCCTTTGTGTTAAGTGGCATCTGTTTAAAACAGAAGGAAAAGACACTAAATAGATAATTTTATGCCCTGGGTAAAAAATTTGATAGTGTGTATACTGCTCCCTCACATTGCAGATTCAGATGGAGTAGAAAGAATCTGATCATTGAAAATCCAATTGGGAAGTAAAGTTTTCTTGCCATTGCCAGCAAGAATACTATGCTATCATCACCCTATTTCAGGGAGGATAAACTGTTTCAGAATCATTTGGTCCAGAGTGTCAGTCTTTTGTTACTTAAGAGCTGTTTGGTCATTTCTTTTGGACATTTGTTGGCAAGTGGTATATGAGGATTTGGAAGCAAATCTCTGATACAGTGTTCTATTTATTTATATTATGGCTTTCAATTTTGGTTTCATTATCAAGACCCTCTGAATATTCAAAGATAACTTTTGTGCCTCCTGTTACTACTGGCTGCTAATAATGCCTTTCATAGAAAATGATATATAGTTATATATTTTTCTTCCACCTTTCTTATATAAGTATGTTGATTAACATGAGTAGTTTTGTCTCTAATGTTCTGATTATCCTAGAGGGATAGAATGATAAGATACTTTTATCCATCATATAATGATACATATATAAAAACCATATATTTTAATTGGAAACTGTTTAAGAAGTGTAGATTTATAGAATTTCATGTGGTTTTCTGTTTAGATATTTAAATAGTGGGAACCTGTGTATTAATGTGTAAATTATTGTAATAGTTTGCAGAATGAGGCTTAGAGTTGTAATTTTTTGAGGGCAAGTTTATTATTTTTAGACTCAGTTACCATGGAAGTGTTTATTTTCTTCTTGAGAATTCTCATGTCCCTTTTGTTTTTCAGGAATATGTTTTTCACTGTTTTGCAGGCACTTGGGAATGTCCTAAGGCCCCTGCATCAGGTTGTTGGAGGCAGGGGGTTTTGTGTGTGCTTTGTCTGGGCTGGTTGGCTTAGTTGCACTGAGCCTGGTATTAATGAGGCAAAGGTCAGGAGTTCCATTTAGCTTCAGTCTGAATGATGGCCAGGGAGTACACCTCTCACTCCCCCCAGCTGCCTTGGAAATTCCTCGGTTGTCATTGGTCACAAAGGTGACTGGATTAGGATGGATCTTTATACGAGTGGAAGAATATTAGAGGAAATTTGGCAAAATGGTTAGGAACTCTGACTCTGGAATTAGACACACCTGTGTCAAAATTCTTGGTCTGTGACCTTGGGAGAGTCCCTAAACCCCTCCAAGCCTCTGTTTCCTCTTTATTGAATAGGTTAATATTTGGTTTGGGCATGTCCTGCCCTGGCTTTCTTTTTCCAAGTGGGAGTTAGCTGTTTAGACCTGTGGTTCCCAAATGCTGGACTGTGGTGTGGTGTCAGTCCATGATGAAGTTTTCACTTGCCTGAAGTGAAGTGAGAATGAGTTAGCTTTTCATAAAGCTAAATCTATTGAATTTA